TAATCTTATTGACATATGGTGGCGGAACTCATTTATGATGTCATATGCAACAAAGTATTAGAAAAATAATTAAGATATAAAAGATTTAGAGAAATTATTTCGTTGTCTAGATTAATCAAAGGATATGTTACTACTACGAAGATTTACATTTTTTATCAAAATCATTTCAACTAGAAAGATGTAATATCATATCTTTTAATTTTAATTTTATATTTAAAAGAATATAAATAATTCTTTTAATTTATTAAAAGATCAACAAACTCTAGCTAGTAGCTACAATAATAAAGTTTTCTTCCATAAGGAATTTAGAACACGATGAAAACATCCAGATGATATATTTTACAAATTCAGGTGGTTGAGGTTTCACGATGAGAGTAGTCTTCCCTTTGTATATTGAATGGCTCGCGAAAATCTTAGACGGAAATTCATCTCTCTATATCTTTTGCTTGTTTATTTTTATTGCTTTATCATAAATAAAGCGAAGAGCTTGTTGTCGTTTTAGTTTTTATTATTGAAATTATTTTATGAAACATCAATTTTGTAATTTCAAGATTTGACTAAAATTTCATTACGACTAATTCTATATTCGGTGGACAAAACGTCTAATCTTCTTTAACAAACTCAATTAAGTAACCCTAATTTTTCCATCTGTTTTTTCTAAAGTGAAAACGACTGAATATTGTCATAAACTTAGCATCTAGCAGAGAACATAACAAAACGACAATCGTTAAATCCATTGAAGGATCTTTCCGTATACTTATTAAAATGGTTGGATCTTTTCATTGTCTTTCACACATCATTGAGACTAAGAAGCCAATTTAGCACGCAACCGAGATAGCTCTTGGCACATAAAAATAAAAAACCTCTGCTATATTTAGACAAGTCAAATTATTTTTTTTTTATCAACAAAGTAGATTATTATTCAATTGTAATATTCAGAAAAAATTTAATTTATTCAAATACTAACCCAAATCAATAGATTTTTTATTTACATCCAACCTAATCTGGACAAATTAAGTATTAAAAATCAATCAAGACATTGTAAACACCAAACTAAAAGACATTGCAGTATCCAAAAAAAAAAAAATCAAAAAATCCAATTAACTAAGTCGAACGACAAAGCCCAAATGAAGATAGGCCCGCAAAATCATCAACATTTCTTGAGAAAAGAAATGGTAATGATTTAAAGCCACTGCAACAAACACGAACACGCAGACCTTAACAGGCATAAAGAACAAGCTGCAGCAAACTTAAAAACATAAGGAGTGGACAGCAAAAAAACTCATTTAGAACCAAGCCAAATGAGGATTCTCAGCATCAACAACTTTCTTAGCCATGATACAGAACAAGCTGCAACAAATTTAACACTGTAAAGACTAGACTATTGCCACTTGCTCTACATACTTCCAAGGAAGACAAGTACTAATCATTGATATTTAGCTTTTAACGGCTAAAACATCTAGCCGTTAACCATTTCGATAACTTCTTATGGATTCCTTGTGTCTGTCATTAAAAGCATTTTTGTTTCTAGCTAATGACAAGGACCACATCGTCACAAACAATAAAGACTTCCAGATTGCAGGAAAACCTTTGGATTCTTTGTGTCATTATTAAAAAGCATTTTTGTTTCTTGCTAACCACAAGGACCTCATTGTTACAAACAATAAAGACTTTCAGATTGCAGGAAAACCTTTTATCTTAATAATGCTTTGCCATTGCCGACTGAGATCAAGGCTCTCCAAGTCAAAAAAGGAGACTTATAGCCGGCGGTAAAGGTGATCAAATTTGTTTAAAATTGAAAGAGACACTTGTCTCATCCATCCCATTTTCCTCTAATAAAGATAATAAGCTTTTTACCCAAAAATTGTGTTATTTGCTGAAAGATCTAACAATTCTATCTTCAACTCTGGAAGAACATATATCTCCTCCAATCTCAATAGCTTGACTTTTCATTATATGACATTTTCCTTTTATATATATTAACAAATTAGCTCAAATATAATGAGTTAGATAATATCATATAAGAAGATACTTTATTTATTCCATAGTAATAGGGAGAGGCAAAATTAGAAAACATCAATATACATTTTGGTAGCGCAAAATGAAATTTATGAATTCTTAGGAGTCAAATATAATCTTTTTATTAGATTTTTTGTCTTTGAATTTTGGAAGGCTAACCACCCACTGGATTTGATAATACATCTATCGTTTTCATACTTATTAAGAAAATATAATTAATATGATTTTTTTAAAAAAATTTAATAATTCATTAATAATGAACGTTTTCATACTTATTAAGAAAATATAATTAATATGATTTTTTTAAAAAAATTTAATAATTCATTAATAATGAATATAAGTCGAGTACATCATAATATTGCTCTAGAAATAAAAAATATAAATATAGAAAACTGAAACCTTTCGTCTGGAGATGTTCTTGATCTGAACAGAAGAGAATAATCTTTTGGATAAAAACTGGTCTATTTTCAAATAAGACGACAAAAGAAACCTTCCACAATATTACTCTAAATATTGTTTTTTCCGGAAATTTATTACAATTGACATTTACAGAAAAGTTTAATATAACAAACTTTAATGGATGAATAAGTCGCACTATCAAGCTCCATTGATAAAAGAAACTTATCTAAACTTGAAGTAATGAAGTCTTCAACCACCCACTGGATTTGATAATACATCTATCGTTTTCATACTTATTAAGAAAATATAATTAATATGATTTTTTTAAAAAAATTTAATAATTCATTAATAATGAATTAATTGAATATTTTCATACTTATTAAGAAAATATAATTAATATGATTTTTTTAAAAAAATTTAATAATTCATTAATAATGAATATAAGTTGAGTACATCATAATATTGCTCTAGAAATAAAAAATATAAATATAGAAAACTGAAACCTTTCGTCCGGAGATGTTCTTGATATGAACAGAAGAGATTAATCTTTTGGATAAAAACTGGTCTATTTTCAAATAAGACGACAAAAAAAACCTTCCACAATATTACTCTAAATATTATTTTTTCCGGAAATTTATTACAATTGACATTTACAGAAAAGTTTAATATAACAAGCTTTAATGGATGAATAAGTCGCACTATCAAGCTCCATTGATAAAAGAAACTTATCTAAACTTGAAGTAATGAAGTCTTCAACCACAAGCAACTAACAATCCATCTCGTATTTCGAATTACTAAAGAAATAAAATATCTAAATAAAAACTCTTCAATGACGAGGAACAACTCCATGAACTAAGAGAAATTAATAATACAATAAGAAAATGTCAAAAACACTCGATCTAAGACTAAATCTAAATTTTATTCAAAATGATAATATATTTAAAATTTATTAGAAAGAAAACTAAATATAATTAATATGATTAAATCATATTCTTTAGTTAATTTTTTTTTTCCTAATAAAACACCGTACTTAAAATGATCCGTGTTATGTCATTAAGGTTCCCCATGGCTTTCCTCCAAAATATTGTTTCTTAGAGGAGAATAAAAACCATATCTCATTTAAATCTTTATTCCCATTTTAACCATCTCAATTTAATAATCAAATTAATAATAATCTCGCTTTGTTTAGAATTTTAAATATAGAATTAGTAATAATAATCTATGATTAGATGAGACAAAAAGAAAAAAAAAATTTCTGTCAAATCAAAACTGATCATATTTAAAGATTATTTTATTTATGGATTCTATCTATATGATTCTTATTGGACCGATATTTGTTGTACTGACATTGCTGCTGAGCCGCAGCAAGTGGAGCATTTATTGATTCATAACTAAAAGGAGTAACTACTCCTAGGCTCTTGAATGTCGTGCACTCCAGTTAAGATACGGCTCCACACTGCACGGTTCAGCAACAAAATAGTTTATTATTTATAGTATTCATTTATTCTAATATTTAGTGATTAAAAAAAATAAATTATAAATTTATTCTCTTTAAAATTTAATAAACACTAGGGAGAGGTAATGCTTGTTGGATATTTTGATTTGACACTGTTTCACATCCAAAAAGAAGGAAGCTACATATAAGTTAAACTTGTCGCCGGAAGTCTTCTTTCTCGATGGTGAAGTAAGACCAAGCTCATGATAGGATCCCCTTTTTACGTCTCTATATCCCTCCCACGTGGTGACATGGGGGCGAAAAAAAGAAAGAGAGGGATGAGGTTTCTCTCATACTAAATATGACTTTAAAATAAAAATATATTTAATTAATCTCAATTAATTTTTTATTAGGCCATTTTAAATCACACGCTTTTGACTATTATATTTGATCTGAATATTTTATAAAAAATAATTATTTTATCCTTATATTTTATCAAAATGCAAGGATTTTGCTCATGCATTATTAGAAATATATAATTTTGTTCCTATCTTTTTCCGCCGTTGTACTTTTATATCCTTCTATTATTTTTATACATTTTCCATATTATTAGAAATATATAATTTTGTTCCTATCTTTTTCCGCCGTTGTACTTTTATATCCTTCTATTATTTTTATACATTTTCCATATTATTAGAAATATATAATTTTGTTCCTATCGCCGTTGTACTTTTATATCCTTCTATTATTTTTATACATTTTCCATATTATTAGAAATATATAATTTTGTTCCTATCTTTTTCCGCCGTTGTACTTTTATATCCTTCTATTATTTTTATACATTTTCCATTAAATCGAGGAAGAGATTAGTTAATTAAGAAAAATATAAGGATAAGATAGTTAATAAATACATTAATTAATTTTTAAAATAAAATAATAATTTATTGATAAAAAATTATAAAAGAATTGGCAAAAGGTTGAGACAAAATTATATATTTCTAAAAAAATGCAGAGGCAATATTACGTGTTCTGACAAATTGCAGAGGTAAAATCATAATTTTATTTTTATAAAACCAAATAAAATACAATCAATAGATCCGATAAAACTAAAGTTTCGGACATATTACTCTATAAATACGTTAAAATTGTTGGGAAGAAAATATGAAACTCACACTACACCCAACACAAAAACCTGAGTGCTTTCAACTGCGACACCACTTCATCAGTTCAGGCAAAGATCTTGCCTGAACTAGGAAAGCTTTTCCAATCCATTACAAAAGAAGAAACAAAAAGGAAAAATTAAGAAATGGGTACAGTTAAAGTTATCAAAAAACCTCACATTGTATGTGTCCCATATCCATCACAAGGCCATGTAACCCCAATGATGCAACTGGCCAAGCTTTTACACTCAAATGGCGTTTACATAACTTTTGTTAACACAGAGTTCAACCACAGACGTCTAATCCGGTCTAGAGGACCGGATTCCGTTAAGGGTTTGCCGGATTTTCGATTTGAGACTATACCGGACGGTCTGCCGGTGCCACCAGATGATTATGATGCCACACAAGATGTTCCTTCCTTGTGCGATGCAACTAGAAAGAATTGTTTAGCTCCATTTAAAGAGTTAATCAACAAGTTAAATTTATTATCTCATAATAGTGATGATGTGCCTCATGTTAGTTGTATAATTTCAGATGGTGTTATGAGTTTTGGAATCAAAGCTGGAGAGGAGTTAAATATACCTCAGGTTCAGTTTTGGACTGCCTCAGCTTGCAGTTTCATGGGTTATTTACACTATAGTGAACTAAAAAGAAGAGGCCTCGTCCCACATCAAGGTATATCTTTCTCGGCTTCTGTATATTGAGTCAGCTATTTTAAAATTGGAATATAGAAAAATTTGATAGCTGAATATTTAATAAGATGAAAAATGTCAGGTCAAATTTAAACTTTGAAATTGTTCAGTTTAAAATTATCGAAAATTCATATTTATAACGTTTTGAGTTAATTTAGCCACTGAATTTATTTAAAATGTTTAAAAATATCATATTTAACATTTTGAGTCAATTTAGTCGTTGATTCTTCACAGTATTTACATGGATTTAAGACTATCATTGGGATCAAATTGTACAATTTGTTTAAAGTAATTAATTAAATATGAAATAGATGAAAACGATATATGGAATGTATTATATTCCTCTTTATGTTGACTAATAGTATTTTTATCTTGACTAATAATTTTGAGTCCATAAGTATGTATTAATTTGAATATTTTAGAATTAACATTTATCACTAGGTTATTACATATGAAATCCATTAATTTCTCATGTTAAACAAATTAAAGTTACATTACATGTGTTAAATTAAATCAATTTATTAATTTATAAAACTTTAAAACAAATTCAAGGGCTAAATTGGTCTAAAAAGTCAAAACTGACATTTTTAATCATTTTCAACAAGTTCAAAGATTAAATTGATCTGAAAGAGCAAATATGACCTTTTTTTATCCTACTATATAAGTTCAGCTACATAAATAAAAAGAAAATTAACCTCTAAGGAGTGAGATGGGATAATAGGGATTCCTTCTCTCTTAACTAAAGGTCTCAAGTTTGAGCCTGGATATGGAGTTTACCCTCTTTGTGGGCTGTTCGATGCGAATCCGAATTAGTCGGGCCAATGGGATTCATACACCGGATGGTTAAAACCAATAAAAAAAAAAAAGAAAATCAAATTTAGTTTTTAAACAATACTTTGAATGAGCATAATTTTTATTCTTGATTGTTTCAGTTGAGAATTTCCTCTGCAATGACATTAGTAAAACCCCCATTGATTGGATTCCTGGGATGACTAACATCCAGTTAAAGGACATGCCAACATTTATCAGAAGCACAAATGATGAACTAATGTTTGATTTCTTGGGATCAGAGGCAGAAAACTGCTTGAACTCTTCTGCAATTATCTTCAACACATTCCACGAATTCGAAAATGAAGTTTTACAAGCTATAATTGATCACAAGTTCCCTAACATTTATACTATAGGTCCTCTCCCTTTGCTTGAAAAGCAAATCCAAGAAAATGAACTCAACTCCGTAAAATCAAGTTTGTGGAAAGAAGATTCGAATTGCCTAAAATGGTTAGATAAAAGAGAAGCTAAATCTGTTGTGTATGTAAATTATGGTAGTGTGGCTATGATGACAGATAAAGACTTAAAAGAGTTTGCTTGGGGTCTTGCAAATAGCAGACACCCATTTTTATGGATTATTAGGCCAGATGTAGTTATGGGAGATTCTGCAATTTTGCCTGAAGAATTTGTTGAGGAAACTAAAGAAAGAGGATTGTTAACCAGTTGGTGCGAACAAAATCAAGTGCTTGCACATCCAGCAGTTGGTGTTTTTATCACACACTGTGGTTGGAATTCTATGATGGAAAGTGTTTGTCATGGCGTTCCAGTAATATGCTGGCCTTTTTTCGCTGATCAGCAAACTAACTGTCGATATGCATGCGAAAAATGGGGGAATGGGATGGAGGTTAATCATGATGTGAAGAGAAATGAAATTGAATGTCTTATTAAGGAAATGATGGAAGGGGAAAATGGGAAGAAGGAAAAGGCATTAGAGTGGAAAAAGAAAGCAGAAGCAGCTACAAAAGTTGGAGGATCATCTTACAATAACTTTAGCAGATTTATTATGGAAGCTATCTATCGTGGTGATCAAGTCATAGACTGATGCAATGATCGAAAATGCAGAAGTGTAAAAGCCTCCAGTACAAGGTGGAGAATATGCCATTGCATAATCTTGGAAAAACTTGCTGAACTTGGTCTATGATGGACCAAGAGACATGTGGTGAATCCCATTTCCATATGCGATTCGCCCCATGCGTGTATTGGTTCATGAAGGCCTAGTTCAGGCAAGTATTACCCATGTAGAATCATAGTAATAATGAAACTTTTGAAGTTGTATCAATAGCCTTGTGATATTGTTATGTAAAATTTGATTTCTAAAAATCCTATATAGTGGTAGCATTTTCACATGCTTATATTTTGTAGTTCAGGCAAGTATTACCCATGTAGAATCATAGTAATAATGAAACTTTTGAAGTTGTATCAATAGCCTTGTGATATTGTTATATAAAATTTGATTTCTAAAAATCCTATAAAGTGGTAGCATTTTCACATGCTTATATTTTGGAGAACTTGGTCAAGTAATTGTTCAGATATGTAAAGTGCCTGATCATATTTCGACATATTTTATCCTCTGGTTCTGATTGTTGAGGATAGAACAATAAGTAATAATAGCTAATCTATTTCCTTCATTCAGTGATCTTAAAGTATATAAGATTCAAACAGTTAGAGCATTCCAATTCAATAGAAGGGATTTGCATGTGAACTCGTTGCCAAAATAGTTGTGATACGATGGCATGAATATGATAACGGAGTTGGTAACCACTGTACAATTAATGGTATCAATTTCCACAACACAGCCATGATAATACAATGATGAAATGAAAAATAACATAGGCAACTGGGGCTTTGAATCATAATAACATTAACCATGACATTGATGAGGTTGTGATGATGAATGTAGTGAGGCTGATGGGGAGAAATGGCAAATGTAGAAATCACTATAAAATGAATTTCATGTAAAGGAAAGAACGGTGTGATAGAATATAGTGACGTCAAAGAAATGAGATCCCTACATTTCATTTCATGTAAGAAAATCCGGCCATCAACTCCATGATAAATTTCAGAATCTGTTTTAATCAGGCAATACCAGTTGAATTTATTACAAGTTTTTAAAACTGCAACCTTCTATTCATTTCCAATCCATAACATGTAAAGTGAGCAAACAATTTTATATTGGTACTTGTAGCCCTATAAGATCCGAGTACGACAACAAGGGTACTTATTTTATTCATCATCTGACAAATTAAGCCCATAAGAATATAAGACTAACTCCAATGACTCAATTTACACAGTAGCAAATATGCTCACATAGCATCTGCATCAACATCAGAATTGATCAATTTCCATTAAGCCTCAGTCTTGAAACCATGTGCTCTGACTTCTGCAAGGAAAAAGGGAGAATTTCAAACAGATTTGTCAATCAACTTCCTAGGCATTTGAGATCCGGAAACAGGGAAAGAAGCGAACGAAGGAGGAAGACTAGGTAACATGCTAAGTTTCATTTGATAAATGATTACACATTTTAGTTTATACAATGAAATATCCTGCAGGAGAATTCCAGAGAGCATTAGATATAACGCGTGTGCACTACAATCAAGAATTTGTTCAATATCTTGAATAATTGAGGAAAACCCATCCCATTTAGTTTTCTACTTTCTCTTCTTTATCTTTATCTAATCAGGATCAGATGCAATGTTTTTTTATGATGATATAAGGAATTTAACTCCCACCCAGTTTACACATACAAAAACATGTGAACATATATATATATATATATATATATCTTCTATATGTATTTTCACAAAAGGTAGGGCAACCTATCACCAACTGTATGAGCAATACTTGAAATTGGTTGTTGAATGTATGATTTTGATGAAGACACTTTAATAGGATATGATTTTTGGATTTGAAGACACTTTAAATAGGAAACAACTGCAAAAAAGAATATTCGAAGCATTCGTACGTGTTCACCCACCTTTTCTTCTTATATGTTTACTCTACATCAGCAAAATCAATGACAAGCATGATTAAACAACCGTACAGGCAATTTTTTTTGTGCATTCATGCGGCTCCACAATAGAATTCGCTTCTTTCCTCGATCAAGTTTACATGTTTCAAAATCAATGACAAGCATGATTAAACAACCGTACAGGCATTTTTTGTGCATTCATGCGGCTCCACAATAGAATTCGCCTTCTTTCTCGACAGTTTACATGTTTCCTAGGTAATCATACAACATTAAAGTCAACAAACCTGCTCAGTATGAGGCAAATACTTCCCATCAAATGTCACAACTACACGATCTTTTCCATCCACACCTTTGACTTTGTCGACAGAGCAAAAGAAGTCTATGGCTGACATGCTGAAAAAAACAAATGACATTGAATTGAGTGATTTAAGTTGATAACATATAAAAACATTGCAGAAAATAAATATGGGGATAACTGCTATATTGCATATAGTCAATGGGCTCATGAATAATCAAACAAGACATTGAAAATTTACATGCAGAATATTTAACACAAAAGAGGATAAGAAAAAGGCAATCTTGGAAAGTGGTTCTGGCTTCAAATGGGAAGGCAATCACAAAGAAGTCACTTAGCCTGCCTTAACTATACGAAAAGGCAAAATATGTAAAATCCTGTCTTCTAAATCATATTTTGCTAGTGAGAGCTTGAATTTCAATGAGAAAGGCCAAACAAACAAGAACCAATCATATAGCTCCTCTAAAATCTAAATAAGGAATCTTAAGACTTCCAACTACTAGTATTTTGAATCAAAGTTAGGATCCAAAAATCTAAGAAGCAATGAGTAATAAATTGATGACAAGAAAAAACTTACATGCCATCACCAAACTCTTCATTGATAATTTCCTTTATGCTTTCACCAAAATGCATAACTGCTTCATTCAACCTACAATAATTTTAGCAAGAAATTAGATAACAGCCCACTGTATTAAAAAGAGAAAAAGAATGTCCCAGTATCAAGATTTATGAAACACAGGGTCACTCACAGCAGACAATATGAACCAAAATCACAAATCCCTTCACCACCATTAGTACAACACATGACCTTGCATTCTTAGAAATTAGCAATACAATGTTTATAAGCAGATTCTACGTATAAATATTTAAAAGAACGGCAAAAATTAAAAGGGAAAAAAAAAAAAAGAAACTTGAAGCCAAAATTCGAAGTCATAAAGAAATAACTAGAAGTAGCACATTAAGTAAAAGATGAGAAGTTATAAAATACTAAGGGAATATCGAAAACCCACCTGTAAACAGTGGGTTCTTGAATCAAATTGGGGTCATAAGACCTCATGGGTGGTCTCATCATCTCCTGAAGCATCTCATCAGATAGTTCAGGCAGAGCTGCTCGAAGCTTTGGGGCGGTTTCGGGCTTCAGTTGGGCCTGACGTTTCAGCAACTGGGCTACATAGACATTGGTGAGCCCAGTCTCCTCCGCGATCTGACTGTAGTTCTTGCCGGAGTTGCGTTTCACGGCCAATAGATGGTTGGCCATGGTCGCTTTGGTCTCTCCCATTTTTCAGATGGAAGTAAACAAATTTGCTTTTCCTCTGTGTCTTTGGTCCTACTAGGCAGAGGGAACTGAGTGATTTTTAATTGATGTGGTTACTATTTCACACGTGGCTTTTCGTAAAAGGACCTTTCCCAACTTTTTTTCTTATTTCTTATTTATTTAAAGGAATTGCTTTGATATATTTTTAAAAAATCCTTTCAAAAAAAAAAAAAGATATATTTTTAAAAAAGCTTTTTTTCCTCAAGGAGTTGTGAGTATAAAATTTATAAAATAAAATTTATGTTTTTCTTATTACATTATTTAAAAAAAATGCATTCTAATCTGTAAAAAAATAAAATAAAATAAAATTACCAGATTATAATTTAATAAAATTAAAGATTTAAAGATAACTTATAAAAAAATTAAAAGAATACGTTAATATGTTATAAAAAGGAAGATTTGACTTTAGGTTCATCTTGAAAATAGAGAACAAAAATACTTAAAATTTAATTATATATTAGGAAAATTAAACAATGGAAGAAAAATTTGTTTGATATCAACGAGCTATACAATTTATATTTTTATATTTGGTATTAAGAAAATAAAATAAACGACTAATATTTAATCGTTGATGTTTCATCTTAATTATTATTTAGTCTCTATATTTTTAAATAATAAATTAAATAATAATAATTTATTAAACGTAAAGAGTTAAATAGTAATATTATTTGAAGAATTAAATAATCAAATCTTATATGATATTTAATAGAAAAGAAAAAACAGTTTATGAACAAAAAGATTCTATACAGTTACAAATGTTGTCTTCATCATAATTTTTTCAAATAATAAGGACCAACTAATAATTTCGACTAACTTAAAGATTTTATAATAATTTATCCAAAAAAAATATTATATCACTTTTAAAATTTAATATAACTAAATCAAATTTCATTATAAAAAAATTTTATATTTCAACCTAAGAAACATTGATGGCCTATATCTAAATTGAGAAGGCTCAGCCCAAGCCTGAAAAGAACTCAAGTCCTAGGGAGTCGGGACCAGCCCATCAGAAGCTGTCTTATCCAGAGAGTCTGAAGAAGATAAATACCCCCTATATCCTCCAAAAACCCTCGTTCGTTCCTTGTTTCAACAACAATGGCTCAAACCCTAGCTCGCCCTTTCACTCGCTCCCTCTCTCTTTCTCTCTTCCTCCCCAAGCGCCTCTTCTCCCACGCCGCATCTACCATAACTCGTACTCCTCCTCCCCCTACTGTACTTCCCTGCCGCCGTTCGTTACTCCCTCTTTCTCATGCCGTTCCGTCAATTAGAAGTGCTGATCCGACTCGATTTACTGCGATTCGATGCCGGGTTAACCGGGCTGGTAATTCAGCCTACTCACCATTGAACTCCGGCTCTAACTTCAGTGACCGGCCGCCCAATGAGATGGCCCCGCTTTTCCCTGGATGCGATTATGAGCATTGGCTTATTGTTATGGACAAGCCTGGCGGAGAAGGAGCTACTAAGGAGCAAATGATTGAGTGTTATGTTCAAACCCTAGCCAAAGTTCTTGGAAGGTAAATGTTTTTAAACGATGACAAGTTTTGGATATTTGGGTTTTATGTAGATTTGATTATGCATGACATCTGTTTGTTGCTTTATCTCAGTGAAGAGGAAGCCAAAAAGAAGATTTACAATGTTTCGTGTGAGAGGTATTTTGGATTTGGCTGTGAGATTGATGAGGAGACCTCAAACAAATTAGAAGGTATATATTTAGGGTTTTAGTTTCTCCAATTCTTTTTTTTTTTTTTGTTCTGTTATTGTTTGTTGGATTAAATGAATTTAATTTTTTTTTGTTTTGTTGGTTAACAGGCTTGCCTGGTGTTTTGTTTGTCCTGCCTGATTCTTATGTTGACCCTGAAAACAAGGACTATGGCGGTAAGCTTTTGCGCTTGTAGCTTAAGATTGCAAGCAATTTATCTTCTCCACATCCTTTTTTTTTTTTGTGCTTATATATTATAATTCAATGGTTAAACTCATCCTAGGTGTATGTCAGGAATTTATGATAAAATTTGGTAAGGAAAAAACTATTGCAGTTCTATTTTTGACTGAAGGAGAGAATTCATTCTGACTTTCGAGAAATATGAATTATGATGTGATTGTATAAATGGATTATAGTTTCTTTACAGTCCATCTTGGCAAAGCTATGAGTCTGTTAGGCAATGTTTAGCTTTGAATGCTAATGGACTTATATCAAATTGTTCGCTCTAAACCATTCTGTGCTTCTTATATTCTGTGGAGATGCAGATCAGTGGAGATGGAACATTATTATTACTCTATTTGTTTCTTTCTATATATAAATAATATGTTTATTTCTTTTTCTCAAAGCATGGTTAACTGTGTTAGTGACAACCTATACTTTGTTGTGGTCACTAACTATATATCCTCTCTTGTTATATATGATTAATAGGATTTTGACATTCCCCTTATCTTAATATGGCTTTGAATGCCAATGAACAACTGGCTTCAAAATTGTTGGAGTGTTCTCTGTATTTCTTTCAACTTAACTACAAATGCACTCAGAGCGCCACAATATTCTCTTAGGTTATTTATGTTCACATATAATAAAAAGCAGCCAGACATATTTGTTTGCTTTCAATTTGCATTTTTTCTCAGCAAACAGCCTTGGAAGGGACATGTCTTCCTTGTTGGTTTGCAAATTATTCTCATTGCCAATCTTGTCCTTGCGTTTTGTAAAATTAACTGTTTTGACCTAAAGGTTCTCTGATCTTGTGTTGTTACATCTTTCATGGCAGTAAAAATCATTTTTCTCCTTTCATTTTTATCCTTTTACACTCACGTATTGTATATTAGTCCATCTTGGCAAAGCTAATAACCTCATGTGGGTAATGTCTAGTTTTGAATGCTAATGGACTTAGATTAAAGTTCTTTCCTTTCCTGTTCTGTTCTTCAAGCACACCATGGAGTTGCAGAATCATTGGAAACGATACATAAGTTTTTAATGCTTTTTGTGAATTTAATTCTTGTGTAGTTTATATATCTATCTATATTGCATAAGCAACTTATTGTAATTACTTTGAACTTTGGTGTAGGCTTCGTTTTTCCATTTTTCTCATACAAAACAATATATTTTTATTTATGGGGTGTCAAGAGGAGAAAGCTTCTTATGACGTGATTTGTTGTTTGTGCTAGTAGAAATTTCACAGTTATGCCTGTCTAATAGACACATTTTCACCTTTTCATTATCTATTATGTGCTTTGGTGAATTTCTTAATTAAATTCTTTATGGATAGTTGCAAAAATGTTAATCTCAACTTCTTTCCTTTCTCCATGGCAACTTTGTGCACTTTGCCCACTGTGAATATGAATTTTAGGGATCCTTTTATCGTACGATTATAAAGACTAGTTATAAAAACTTTTTCTAATTTTGCAGCTGAGCTGTATGTGAATGGAGAGATAGTTCAAAGATCACCCGAAAGACAGAGAAGGGTGGAGCCACAACCCCAAAGAGCAAATGACAGACCCAGATACAATGACAGAACTCGATACGTTCGCCGCAGAGAAAATATGAGGTGAAAGGCTGATTGGGGAAAAGTAGCTGTGTATAAATGTTGCAATGGAAGCCACATTCCTTCCTGGTTATGCATCGCGTTTAACTGGTGTCTAAGAATAGTTCTATGATAATTGTATGTGAGAATTTTCTAGATATTTTATAAGGGGCGGTGATTAAAAAGACTTTCTTGACTCGTATATTTTCTATAATTCCTAAACAGTTATTAAATGTCAAAATCCATATTTTCCATACGAAAAAATATTTTGAATATCTTTATTAAGCTATATTTTATATAAGTACATATATTTTTTCTATTAACAAATTTTTGTTGCTTTAAACATTGTATAAATAAAATTTGGTTTTAATTTTTTTTTTTAAAGAAAAGACTTCAGCTATTAAAATTTTAAAAAGCAATTTTGATCACTTTTATAACTTGAATAATCTTGAATAATTTTTGTAATTAGATGAATTAAATTATATGTATGAAATAAATTTCATTGTCTGTATGAAATAAATTATATGTATGAAATAAATTATATGTATAGTCATTAAAACATAATGTAGGACTTAAATTTTTTAAACAAACTGTACATAATATTTTTAACAACTATAATTTGCAAATCTCTAACTACTTAACAATCCATATTTAGCATTTATAACAATCCATAGTTAACATTGATTTCACATTTTTAGATATTATAAAAATAATATGAAAATATTTTTCAACATTAATTAAAACGAAACTTATTCGTAACAGATTTATTTGACAAGTGTAAGTAAGTTAGAGGTTCCTGTTTAAAATAAATTAATTGCCAAAAAATTCTCATTTAGGTTTTCTTTTTTTTTTTTTTTTTTTTTCAAGTGTAAGTAGTTAGAGGTTCCTGTTCTAAAATAAATTAATTGCCAAAAATTTTTTTTTTTTTTTTTTTTTTTTAGGGTCTTTGCCATCAGTTACTATTTACAAGCAGGGATATTACTATCTGGTCATTGGAGGTGAATTAATAGATCATGGGACCTCCACCTTTTATATGTAGTATAGATAAAAGAGAACTTGGGGAAGAAAAATTTCATCATTCACTTTTTTTACTTTTAAATTTAGTATAAAATTATTACTTCATACCTAAAGAGAGTAGCATGTTTCCATTTACTCTTTCAACCTTGAAGATTAATGTTTTAACTATATAAATAATACTAACACTTTATAAATAATATTCATTCCCTCTCATAATTTTATCCTACTCCCCTTTTTTTTTTCTTTTCATCCGTCCAAAACTGTTTGTTCTCTTTTTTTTGAAAGTAAAAAATATTTGAAATTTACTATTTGACCTTTATTTAATTTTTATTTGTCAACAAATATAATTGTTAAATTAATGAATTGCCTCAATATACATAAAATTAACATATCAATTAAGGTTATATTAGGAAAAAAATGAAGCAAAAATTAATATTTCTTCAATATAAGGGTGTACCAAAAGAAAAAAAGTTGAAAATTTACCACATTTTGATTTAATCAAATCTTAGTGGGTCAAATGCAAATTTTAAACATTGGAATATAAAAATAAACATATTATGATTTTGGTTCAGGGAAATCAATATTTCTTCATCATATTTTTTTAGGGTAAATTAATTATTGAAACCTTCTTAGATTTTTAATACAATTTTTTCTATGAATCATCATTTCTCATATGATCTCACATTATCACAGGAGGAATATCTAATTCCAATAACCTAGACATTCTTTTTATTAAGTAAATTACTCATACGTTAACTGAATTTTCTTAATCTACGTGACAGTCAAATTAGGATACAAATTATAAGAGGGAGGAAGTAATAACGGTTTTGAAAAAGCTATTGTCAAATAGTCAATTTTTCTTTTACAATTTTTTTTGTTTACATATACACGTATATTTATTTACAAATTCTTTTAAAAAATGACAGAATTAGAATATTAAAGCTAGAGTCACAGCGAGCACTATAGAACAATGTTAAATATACAATTATTCATTGAAGTTCCACACTGATGTGAATTCCATCTATCAGTGCACAGTCTTCATTAATAGATGATAATGAGGATGTACAATTCTTATTTACTTGATAAAAGTTGAGTGATAAATCTATTAAAGTTGTTATAGGATGTTCCTTCCAGGCTCGTAGCTTCCTCTGCTTTCTTCTTCCATTGTAAAGAATTCTTTTTCATTTCCTTTCCTTTCTCTCCTTCCATTATTTCCTTGACAAGAGTTTGAATTTCAGTACGTACGCTTACCGTCATGGCTAATCTCCATGCCAATGCCCCATTTAGAGCAAGAATATAAACAATTCATGGGTTGCTCATCAAAGAAAGGCCAACAGAGCATAGGCACACCATTACATATACCTTCCAAGGTAGAATTCCATCCACTGTGAGTTAAAAATGCACCAACTGATGAGTGAGACAGTACTTGTTCTTGCCAACACCAGGGCGCTATAAACCCTCTATTCTTAATCTCTTGATAATATTCTTCCGGCAAAATCCTGGAATTTCCAATCACGACGTCCCGTCTGACCACCCACAAAAATGGATGCTTGCTAAACAATTCATGGGTTGCTCATCAAAGAAAGGCCAACAGAGCATAGGCACACCATTACATATACCTTCCAAGGTAGAATTCCATCCACTGTGAGTTAAAAATGCACCAACTGATGAGTGAGACAGTACTTGTTCTTGCCAACACCAGGGCGCTATAAACCCTCTATTCTTAATCTCTTGATAATATTCTTCCGGCAAAATCCTGGAATTTCCAATCACGACGTCCCGTCTGACCACCCACAAAAATGGATGCTTGCTATTGGCCAGCCCCCATGCAAATTCTTCAAATTGTTGCTCTGTCATTACAGTTATGCTTCCATAATTCACGTAAAGAACTGATTCTGGATTTTGTTTATCTAGCCATTCAAAACATTTTGAGTCTTCTTTCCATAGATTTGATCTAAGTGACTTTGCTAGGGTAACTGGAAACTGCCTTTCGAGTAAGGAAAGTGGACCTATTGAATATATATTAGGGCATCTGGACTTAATTTCATTCAGTGCTTGGTGTTCAAGCTCATCAAATGTGTTGAAGATGATTGCACAAGATTTTAAACAATTTTTTGCTTCTTTGCTCATAAAATTTAACATTATATCTTCAGGATCTGTCGTTCTGATCAAAGTTGGCATGTCTTTAAGTCGAATGTTTTCAACGCCCGTCATCCAATCAAGTGCTAAATCAAGACTGCCATCGTTCATGAAGTTGTCATCTGAAACGCATTTTCGACTTATATTTTATTTGAAGATGGTGATGGTGAGAAAGTACTGCTCAAATTTTTGCTTGAAATTAATAAATAAAAAATAAATTTTATCTTTTGATTTTCCATATGAAAAAGAAGAAAAAGTCATTTTGTGGTTAAAAAAAGCCAGAAAACATTTCAAGAACCTAAGGCCAAGGTGTGCTCTTTTCCAATTGGAACTAATACAACCATTTAAAAAAAAAAAAAAAAAAAAAAAAAAAAAAAAAATCAAAGACAAGAAAAATTGTACCTTTTAAAGGGGAACAATGCCTTCCTCTTTATAAGTTCATCAAAACGCAAAATCCAATAAGGACCAATAGCTGAGGCAGTCCAAAAATTGAAACTTCTGGAATCTTTATAAGTTCATCAAAACGCAAAAATCCAATAAGACCAATAGCTGAGGCAGTCCAAAATTGAACTTCTGGAATGCCAAATTCTTGGGTAGCTTCAATTGCAAAGGTCATCAAGCCATCAGATATAATGCAACTAACTGGAGGTAATTCTGGCAATGAATTTAACTTTGCTAGTAGCCCTTTAAATGGATTCAGACAATTCTTTTGAATCGAATCACTAAGGGCCCAAATATCTTGGGTTGCATCCCGGTCCGAAGGTGGCAACCCATCAGGTATCGTTTCGAACCTAAAATCTAAAAGGCCTTTAACAAAGTCCGGCCCATTAGACCGGATTAAACGTCTATGATTAAATTCAGTATTGACAAAAGTTATGTAAAAACCATTGGAATGCAAAAGCTTGGCCAGCTGCATTAGAGGATTGACATGGCCTTGTGCTGGATATGGAAGAAGAAGTACATGAGGTTTGATGTTAAGTGAACCCATTGCCAGAAAGGAGATAATAGTGATGCTCAAATGATTCATTTTGCTCTTTTTATAGAAGGTGCTATGAGATACGAGATATTTGTGCCGGCCATTTCATTTTACATACACAAACGTACACACATTACTGCTAATTTTACAAAATTTCAAATGATTTGAGTATCATTAACTCCAAATTTCTTAAAATTATAATTAAACAATTTGATATATAATAGAATATTCTTTTGATTATACTTTTTTTTGTATTAAGTTATTTGTCTAATAATTGAATGTTTGTTTATGTTACTCCCGTACACAAATCTAAATCGTTTTTTTTTTTTTTTGCATGGCGATTAATAAAATAATTAATTCTACTAGATTATAACAAATAATTCATTATTTCAAAACGACTTATATTTGTAGATAAAAAAAAACTATTTAAAACGCTTAGATTTGTAAGCTGAGAATTGTATTTAAGTCTCTTCAAAATTTTATTGAATAAGTTAATGCTCAATTAATAACTTATGCAAACAGAACTTTTTTTTTTCTTTTTTTCCAAAATGTGTAGTTTTCTTAATCATAAAAGATAATGGAAAAATTAAATTGGATCAAATAAAACTTGTGCTTTAAAGTATCAGTTGTTTCTTCTTTTCCTAGGTTCAACTGCTGCTACCTGTTGCGTTTGTTTGGAGTGGCTGTTTGCAGCCCTGCAGTTAAATACACATTGTACAGGTTCAATATTCTAATGCCAACCACTGGACAATGAAAGTGACTATTATTGTTTTCATTTTTTAATTACTCTCGATGTTCCGTTTAATATGATATTTTTTTTCAAAAAAAATTTTAATTCAATTTTTCCATTTGTTTAATAGTATTATTTCTTATGCTTTGTATGCAGATTTTTTTATATATATAGAAAAAATCGAAGTAGAATTTCATTAAGAGGAAACTGTATACAAGTATGAGATATATATCAATATATTTATATATTTTTGTTTAGTAATAATAAATCACTTATACAAAGAATAAAAAAATACAATATTAATTTGAAATATCTGATTGAGTTGATATAGCATAATATTTGTATCATTGGAGACCGTTTGCTTCACTTGGTGGCTATTTATGGCGACTATTCGACTCCATG